GGGGGGGGGGGCTACTGGCTGTGGACAGAAGCACGAGCCTCGCGGGCAAGCGCACGGCGGCGGGCGATTGCGCAGGCGAGACAGGCCACCACACATGGCGCTGTCGAAAGCACAAGCTCGACGGTCTTTTCGGTCCACTTTGCCTTGTCCAGAAGCATCGAGGAGAGATAGAAGCCGAGCGCGCCGGCAAAGAGCCGCATCGACGACGATGTGGCGAGAACACGTCCGCGGACGTAAGCTGGTGACATCTTCTGTAGCACCACGCTCATCGGCAGGTAGATGAAGATAAGCCCAGCGCCGAGCATGGAGAGGGCGGCAAAGTATGCCGCCATCGAGAGCTGCAGGCCGATGATGGCAAACGCAAGGCTAGCGAGACCAAAGCCAAACTCGGCAAACAGCAACCGGCCAGAAATCGGCACGTCAACGCCATAGCGTGCAGCCTGGAATCGCCGCATGGCAAACGGACCGGCCACAATGCCCAGAGAGAGAGAGAGAAATGTGAGTCCCAGCGCCATGCCCGAGTTCGACAGGCCGAGCGAGTACTCGTGCTCAGCGAGCCGGGTCACAATCAGATCGCCCGAGGCGTCCGCAAACTTGAACGCTGCGCTGAGAAGGGCACATAGCAGCAGCGTCGGCTCGCGTACGACCATGAATGCCACGCCGTGACCGTACGCCCGGATCCATCCGAGGGGCCCTGACGACAATGGTTCTGTTTCCGCAAACGGCTCGTCCTCGTCCGATTCGCCAGCAATGGGAGTGTCCGGTGGCGGTGCATGCTCGTCGAGAACCGCGTACGCCGCCGGGCGACCGCTCATGACTCGCGCGGCGACCACCATACACACAGCCGACAGCGCAAACGTCAACGCGTCAATGATGTACGCCGGCGACGTGCCCAGCACACCGGTGGCAAGGCCAGAGAGCGCTGATCCGACCGCGAACGTCGACGACGACGACATGGACGAAAGGGCGTTGGCCAGCTCGAGGTCGTCGCCGCCGCCGACCACCTCGGCCACCAACGCCGACTTGCACGGCTGCATCACCGCTGAAATACAGCCGATGGCCACCACGTTAACATAGACGATCCACAGCGTCTCTGCCGACTGGACCAAGAGGTAGGCGCAGACAGCTACGGTGGCCACAAGGTCGCAGGCGATAAGAACGTAGATCTTGGGCAGGGCATCGGTGATGACGCCACCAACGGGCGAAAAGGCGGCTGCAGAGACCAGGCGGAGTATAAAGTACAGCGACATCATAAAGGCCGAGCTTGTGTAGCGCTGCAAGATGACCACGGTCGCGATCTCGTTGAACCAGGTGCCCAAGCCCGAGATGAAGCCACCAATCCACAACCACCGATAGGCACGATTCCGTCGGAGCAGCGAGACAAAGGCCGAGATGCCGACATTGATGCTCGGCGTGTCAGCAGGTGCCTCGTGAGGCCCACCATGATCATGATCATGATCATGAGCTGCATCGGTATCGCCGGGCGGCGGCGTGTCGCCTCCGCGGACAGACCAATCTGCCGCAGGCGAGCGGAGTGCGGTGGACGAAGGAGTACGGAGCGTTGCAGAGCGGCGGGCACGGGCAGAGCCAGCTGTCACTGCCGTCTCGACCTCGTTGGTCAAAGGTCCATCTGCTTGAGACGGGCCCTGGGGAATGACCACTGTCGGCCGCTTGGACATGGTCGCCGCCGCAACCTGTGGCAGAGTCAGGTGAGTGCCTGCTTGTGACTGCCTGACAGCGGAGGACGGGGGGGGGGGGGGGGGGGGGGGGGCAGGAGTGCAAGCCATCGTGCTCCACTCGCCCCACAGTCGTGTGCCTTTACACGCCCAGTCGCTAGTTGATGGCCATCGTCTCCATCTCCCCATCGCCATCGCCATCCCCACCATCCCCGCCACCCATCATCACCCATCTCATCGGTCAAGTCGCCGCTATGGGCCAAGTCGTCCCCGACCGCGGCCACCGGCCTACAGCACCCGCTAACACCCGACCCCAGCGATGGCCACCATGGACAACGAGTGGGGCGACCGGGTGTGCGTGGTGACGGGCGGAGGGTCTGGTCTGGGACGGGTGACTGCTGTGCTGCTGGCGGGCCTCGGTGCTCGCCTGGTGCTGGCCGACCTCAACGAGGCGGGCCTCGATGCCACCGTCGACGCCTGTCAGGCGGCGGCGGGCCGGGGGCGGGTCGTGGCCATTACGGCCGATGTGGCCGACGAGGTGGACTCAGCCAGGATTGTCGAGACAGCCATCAAGTCCTTTGGTCGGCTGGACGTCTACATCGCAAACGCAGGCGTCCTCGGCACGCCCGGGTCTCTGCTTCACGCCGATGCCGCTGATGTGGAGCGGACGCTCCGCGTCAACGTCCTGGGCACTTTTCTCGGCATCCGCGACGCGGCGCGGGCCATGAAGGATGCTGGAACAGGTGGATCCATTGTGGCTACCGCCTCGGTGGCGGGCCTGCGCTCGGGTGCTGGGCCGGCAGACTACTCAGCCTCCAAAGCTGCCGTCATCGGCCTTGTTAAGGCTGCCGCCAACGACCTCGCCCCCGATGTCATGGGCGGGGCCGTCATCCGGGTCAACGCCGTTTGCCCGGGCTTGGTGGAGACAGGCATGACCAAGCCGCTCTTCGACCTCGCCCGCGCACGGGGTACCAGCGGGAAGATCGGCCAGCTCAACCCGTGCCGCCGCCCGGGCTTGCCGGTCGACATCGCAAACGCGATTGTTTTCCTCGCCTCGGACGCCGCGTCATACATCAACGGGCAGGCGCTGGCTGTCGATGGCGGCCTCTCGTCGTCGCACCCGGTGGTGCCCAAGAAAATCCGTTCGAAGCTTTAGTTGCCACCACAGCTGCGACAGATGCGGACGCCAGCTACCGGTTGCAGCCACTGCGCCGACTCGAACGCCGTCTGGTCTCTAAACTGTCTGCACTGCGTGCACTGCCGCCGCATGGCCGAGAGCCCGTCAAACACGTCATTTCCAGGCCCAGACTCGCTGTCAGACTCGGTCTCGCTAGCCGAGCCCGGGATGCCGTCACCACGGACCATGTCGACGGCTGATCGCGTCGCGCGGTGCATGTGCCCGTCACCCATCGTCACAACCGCCGAGTCGGACGCCGTCCGCGCCCGCCGCGTCTCGGCCAGCCGCATCTCGTACGCCTTGATTCGCGCGAGGAGGCCAGCCTTTTCGTTGGCCGTCGACTCGCGCAACGACTGAATCTCAAAATTGAGTGCGTCGACCTCGCGCGACGTCACCCGCAGCTGCATGTCAAACTTGTGTGACGCGATCTCTATCTCGTGCCGAAGCTCGGCGATGACATCGTCCTTGCTTGCCAGCGATCCCTTGAGCTTGCGAATTTCGGCCTCGAGCGCCAGCAGCTTGGACTGGGCACGGAGCTCGTCTGGCCGGATCTGCGGCCGGGCAGGCGAACGGTTGTCAGTCGGGGCTGGCTGCTCGCTGACCGCCAGCTGCGCTGTTGCGCCGGAGGGCTCTGCTTCCTGCTCGCTCTTCTGCATGAGCTGGGCCATCTCGGTTGCCAGCGCGTGGTACTGCATCTCGACCGCGCGCTTCTCGTACGCCAGCGTCTTGGCAAGCTCCTGATGAGTCTCCAGCTCGTTGCGCATCGCATTCATCTCGTCATCAAAGGCGGTGCGGAGATCGCGGGTGAGCTGGTCGATGGCGGCAAAGTGCTCCTCTTCAGTAAAGCCCTGTGCCGAGGTGACCATCATGAACCCGTCATTGCCTTCGGTGCCGTCGGTCGCCGACGCTGTCCGCGGCCGGCGCGCCGAGGCGTCGCGGAGCTCGGCAATGCGCTTGCGGTAGTGCTCGAGCTCCTCGTCCTTGGTTGCCAGTAAGCGCTTGAGTGCTTGGATCTCTTCCTGGAACATAGAGATGGTCGACTCGTGGAGCGTCTGTGACTCTGAGCGGACCTTGTCGAGCTCGGCGTTCTTCCGGCCAAGCACAAAGTCAACCTTGCGGAACTTCTTCTCCGACGCCAGCAACCGGTCGTGCTCGCGGGCTAGCTCGGACTTGGTCTTGAACAGCTCCTCCGAGAGCTTTTGGGCGTACGAGACCTGCGCGGCATACTGCTGCTCGAGGTAAGCAAACGCGTCCTGCGACTGGGCCGAGGCTTCAGCAGCCATGGCCTTGGCCTGCTCCTCGGCCTCCTTCTCGGACACAACCTTGGTGATCTCAGCCTCGAGCACCGCGTTGATCTCGGTGTTGGCAGCAATGACCGCGTCCCGGTCAGCGAGCTGGTTCTCCAGGTTCTCGATCTTACCGGTGTACTCGGCCACCAGTTCCTGCTCGATCCACTGCCTGAGCTCGAGGTAAAACCTGGCCTCTTGCCGGGCTTCGTGGTCCATCGACCGGATGGCGGTCGAGCGCCGCTTGGCGGCCTTGGCCATGACGCCGACACGGTCGAGCGGCGAGCCGTGGTTGGCAACAGGCGTCGATGGTGCAGCATCCTCGAGGACTAGCAGGTCCGGCTCTGGTGGCGCCAGCGTCGAGAGATGCAGTGAGAGCGCCTTTTCGATCTCGGACTGGAACGCCTCGACCCACTTGTTGGCCTCGACCGTCGACGGCGTCCGGAACGTCAGCTCGGTGGTAAGTGTCGGCGAGTGCGGCGGCGAAGGAATGAAGAGAACAAAGGCGGTCGGGTCGTGGTCGGCAATGGCGACCGAGAAGAACCGGTTGCAGCCGAGTACCTGCTCCTTGCCGGGGCCGTTGACGAGGACAGCCACGTCGTTGAAGAGAATGAGCGTCGAGGTCGAAGTGGCATACGACGCCGAGCCGGTGATCATGGAGACTTGCCGCGGGAAGACGTCGCCCTGGCGGACGGCGATGCGTGAGGCAAGATCAGGCGCGAGCACGGCCTGGGTCGCCGACGAGAAGCTCGAATGAAGAACGACGGTGGTGGCCTTGTCCTTAACGTGGGCCATCTTGGAGTTGAGCTTGGCAACCAGCGCACGCATCTTGGCGTAGCCCGAACACAGCTCACAGCTTGCAATGTGGTCCGGCGACGGCGACTGGGCCGCACCCTTGCCACACACTTCCTTCACCAGCGTCTCGATGATGTTCTTGACGTGGAAGATGTGTGCAATCGGGGCGTAGAGCAAGTTGTACAGCGTTCGCCCAAAGTCGAGGCCAGGAAGCTCGTCGAGGACCGACGCGCAGAAGGTTCGGAAGGCCGGACGAGCGTTGGCGGCCTGCATGGCGCCGGTGATCGTCTCCCACTGGGCCACATAGTGGACGTAGAACGACAAGTTGGCCGTCACGCCTGGATTGTCAAAGTACGACGACGCCGACGCCAAATCAAGCGGAGACGGCAACAGCACCTTGTCTTGTGTGTGGATGACGTAAAGAGACATGATGAGGTCGTGAGGGACGAGCGCATTCATGACCTCACGCTCGGCTGTCGGCTCTTTGCCGCGACAAACCTCGCGCAGATGCTTCAGCGCATACAGCTTGGACAGATACGAGACCTCGACCTCGGCCAGCTCTTGCAGCGTCCGGACGATGCGGATTGGTGTCTCATCCGGTTCAACGACTTCGACAGCTGTGTCAGTGGTATCCGTGCGAGCAGAGGCAGGCCATGACCATCACCGCCACACCGCCATCAACACCACCACCATCCGGCGATGCAGCACAGAGCATTCAGCAAGAGTGCGTCACACATTGCCGAGATTGTATACCCAGGTTGTCGGCGGGCCATCAGCCGCCCGGGCGATCGCCGCCACACCATCGCGATCGCCATCACCGCCACCACCGTCATCACCATCCGGCGATACACCACATAAGATCCAGCAAGAGTTAGTCACACATCACACAAGCCGCCGCCACCCACCCACAGATGGCATACAGGCCACAGAGCTGAAGTCACACTTGCCACGCTCCCACAGTCGGAGTCGCCTACACGGCGACCTGTGCTACTGCACCCTAACGACAGAGGGTACAGCAGCAAGACCACAATGTTGCATAGCCGAGCATGGGGACATGGATGGGGAGGGGGAGAGGGAGGCCGCGTACCAAGTGAGCGGTGCGGCATGGGTGGTGGGCCCGCGGGCGTGGTCGGAGTGTCGTCCGAGGCAGAGTCGGACATGTGTATGTGATGGAGGAGATGGGAGGGAGGACAGAGGAGAGCAGGGAGAGGGTATGACCACGGCGAAGGCAAGGGCTTTGTCGAGACTGTAGGTGTCTGTCTTGCTTCTGTCGTGAGTAAGCTGGTCGGGGCAGGCGGTGGCTCTCCTGTCTCTCTCGCCAGCTCGCCGGGTCGAGTGCTTGGGGTTGTCGAACGAGTGGTGCTCAAGACCGACGGACCGAGTCGCATGTGCGCCGGGTGCGGGGAGGGGGAGGGGAGGGGATCAACTACTTGTAGATCAACAATGTGTTCATACGTGTTGGCAACAGTTCGGTGGGTATGACGGCATGTATGGATATTGCCTGCGATAACGATCAGCCGGTGGTGGATGACTCTTCGGTGGTCTCGGCGTCAGCAGCAGAGACGAGGCGGTCAATGACCTCGTTGAGAGGCTCGAGCTCCTTCTTTTCGACCAGCTTGAACTCCTGGATGAAGAAAATAAGGTGGAGGAAGACTGAGTTGAGGTGCAGTTCCTGGTCGAGGGCGATGATGTGCTGGAGGTGGGTGTGGTAGATGTGGCCATAGACACGGAAGAGGCGCGAGAAGATCTTCTTGACGACCGACTTGAAGTTGGGCGGGAAGGCATTGGATGCGAGGGCGACCGCAGCCAGCTCCTGATCGGGCGACTGGGCATCGCCGCCCGTCGACGACGCGGCGGAGCCGCCTGCGGCGACGTCGGCGACAGTGGCCGGCGACGGAAAGATGGCCTCGTCTCCCATCTGGTCCTCGATCCACTGCATCAGTGAGTCGACGTAGACCGGGGCAGAGACCTGCTGCGCCTTCTTCTTCACCTCGTCGCGCCACCAGTACTCGTACAGCGGGCCAGCAGACATGACCGGACAGGCGTCATCCGTGCAGTACTGCGAAAGCGTGCCGTACAGGATGTTTGTCAGGTTGAAGAAGTCCTGCGTGTGGACGGCAAGCCACTCTTCTTCGCACTGCGACTCGGGCAGGACGACAAACTTGCGGAGATCGGCCCGGAGGTTGGCAAAGGAGAACTCGCCCATGTCTGGCGCGCCCGATGCCAAGCCCGGCCGCTTCTTCTTCCCGCGCTTGGGGCGGAACGTCTTGGTCTTTCCAGACCCGAGCCCGAAGATGTTCATCTTGTCCGCGTGCTCTTGCTCTCACCCGCGCTATACGATGATGACCTTGCGGATGATGGTGACGTGATGGTCGACCTTTGAACAGATCTCTTCCTCGGGCAACTGGTGGTAGTGAGCCAGGAGAGGAAATGGGCCTGTTCGGGTGGTCGAGGGAGATGCGGTTGCACGCGTGTGCGGTGGTTGTCCAGCTACGGACGGGAGGGGGGGGGGGGGGGGAGGAGGGAGGGAAGGGGAGAGGGGGACAGAAGGGAGGTGGACAGGTGGGTTGTCTGCCTCTCTACCACTCTGCAAAGTGGTTGGCTGCAGTGGACAGAGCTGAGTGGTGTCGTTGTGTGTTTTGCGGCATACCTCCCCCACTACCGTAGGCTGTCTCTGCTCGCCACTCTGCCTGGCTTGGTCACCCATCGAACCATTGCCCAAGGAATAATTGAAGGGGATAATCGATAATCGACGCCTTTGTTGTTAAAGTCATCGATGCGCGGAATCAACACCATTTGTTGTTCAACTAATCGTTGGCCAAGATGC